AACAATGTTACAATGTTGTTTGCGTAAAGCAAGCGATAATAGTTCAGGAAATGAGGCTCGAAAAAAGTTAAAACTTCGCAATTTTTTCGTCCTGCATGCATTGAGTTGAAATTTTAACAGCAGGTAGGTGATAGCCGAAGGATCAAAATCTATATCGAACCGAAGTGCGCTGAAGGGTTTTAGGGGTGAAAACTACCCCTAATTGTCAAAAATTATAACATAACATATTAAACCTGAATGCGGCTAAGATTTGGTTTGAATTAGTTAAATAATGATTATTTTATACTTTTGAATAGAGTTCCATCATATTTCAACCTTTAAAAAGCAACCCTTGTTAGAGATTAATGTAAAAAAATTACTAATTCTAAAAAATGATATCGATTTGGATAAAAATTTGGGTTTGGGCTCAATTCAGCCATTGCTTTATAGTTCATATCATGTCGACGAACACTGATTGTTCTTAGGGGTGAAAACTACCCCTAATTGTCAAAAATTATAAAATAACATATTAAACCTGAATATGGGTAAAATTTGGTTTGAATTAATTAAATAATGATAGTTTCGTGCTTTTGAATAAAGTTCCATCATATTTCAACCCTTAAAAAGCGACCCTTGTTAGAGGTTAATGTAAAAAAAAGTAGTAATGCGAAGAAAATGATTTCGCCTTGGAACGATTTGGATAAAAATTTGGAATTAAGCTCAACTCACCCTCTGCTTTATAGTTTATGTCATGCCGATGAACCCTGATTGTTCTTAGGGGTGAAAACTACCCCTAATTTTCAAAAATTGCATTACAAATCTTAAGATGAGTGAAATTTGGTTTGGATTAGTTAAATAGTGATTTTTTATACTTTAAAATACAATTTTATACATTTTCAACCCTTAAAAATCAATTGTTATGAGTGCTATAGGTGAAAACAATTTTTTGCCAAAATTTTGCAACTTCTCAACTTTTGAATATCACCCTTTATAACATTGCAGTTTTTATAAACTAATTTAAAAGATATAAATTAAAAAAAGTAGAATTAAATACAAAAAAATTTATCAACATTAAAAAGCACCATATATTCTTATACATTTACATAAATAGTTGAAAATATTTACATTTATAACAACAACAACAAAAGTTCATCGGGTGCAGGTTGTTTGTTCATGCGTACGGGTAATAACAAACCATCTTTGGAATACCATCCCCAATCTGTTGCTCAGATATTATATTTATTATATTATTATATTCATTGCCAAGCCATAGACATATGAGCAGATGTTTTATTCTGTTGTATGGGATTTCAAAATAAGAACGCTTAAAATTTCGAATGTATAACGCCCCACTACCTAATATACCGGTTTTGTAGATTATTATGCTACGAAATGTACTGTACTATACTAATGGAATTTTCTGAAAAAAAAATGAATTGCTTTTTTTAACTTATTTCCTTCATTTTTAACGATAGAGTGTTTCTTCAAAAACGGTTTTGAAGAGGTTTTTAAGAGCTACAAGAATCTGTGAATTAAATATTTTTGGAACCCTTGGTTTTTAAATGGGGTGAGTTTAAAGGGCTCCAAAAAGAAGGTACTTGATCGTAAATCGATGCTTTAAACGGCTATATCTCGCCAAATATTCATTGTACAACGAATCTAAATGAAGCAAAATTTTAGTCAATAAAAAAGCTACAATTTAGTACATTTTTATTTTTTTCATATATTCAGTATTTTCGGGGATATTTAAAAAAAGAAGGGTAAAAAATTTGAAATTGTAAATCGTTTCTCGCTTTATGCTGTACTTTTTCTAAAACTAAGCATTTTAAATGGGCCAAACTTCTTGGACGTATTAACAATACATGTACAAAGAGAATGGCAGAAGGGTGAAGATCGATTTTAATTAGGGGGGTAGTTAGGGGGTTGTTTTCATCGATTGCTTTCAGATAGGAGGAAGAAATAAAACAAAGGTTTAATTTCACATTTATTTCATGAAATAAGATCAATAAATATAAATTATTTCCAATAGTACAGAATACACTCACTATATAGTAATATATATAGTAAACAAATATAAAAATCCACCCCGCTAACACAAGTTTCTTTGGAAGGATTAAATAGTCGGGATGGTTCGAAAAAGCTTTTGACATTCGATAAAATCCCATTTAGACATTTACATAACTGGCTTCAACTGGATACTGTTAACGGTAGGTTAAAATTACTATGTACATATAACTATATATCATAATAGTAACAATCAACTGATTTTTCAACAAAATTTAATGGTAAACACTGACTATCACACGCTGAATTTGCTTTTGTCCGATTAAATAAACACCAAAACTTGAAAGATAATACAGAAAATAAGTATTTATTTGTAACATTAGAAATTACGGATGAGTATGGTGCGCATGTCTGGTGGATTTTTAACAAAGCCAACTTCTTTGTTATGCGTGACAGTAAAAGATCCTTTTACATTAATTTAACTCTTTCATATGTTGTTTTACAGTTTTTAAGCCTTTAGTTAGGGTATGATGTATATATAACCATCAAAATAACAATTTATTGAGTTGCAAACTCTTCATACCTATGACCAATTACCAAATACCTAAACCATCCTTGTGAAAATTTAATTTTCATTTGTAAAAATTTGTGTACTTTGACAATTTTATCACTTCAGCCGTTTTTGTAAAACGGTACCGATTTAATGGTGAAATTTTTTAGGCATAATGGCTAAAATGTTCCAAAAGGTTGAACAAATGTCATGGAAATTTAAAGACAACTGGTAATTTGTTCATGTGGACAATTATGTATGGAGTACACTACCCCAATTACACCTAAAAATCACTTGGTCTTTTGGAAACAACGGTAGAAAGATTAGCGATCGTTTAATCACTGCCAGAAAGGTATATATACACCAAAAAATCACTTGCTCTCATAAAAACAACGGTAGAAAGAGCAGCGATTGTTTAGTCGCCGATAACAAGGCATATATACACCTAAAAAATCACTTGGTCTCTTGGAAACAACGGTAGAAAGATTAGCAATCGTTTAATCACTGCCATAAAGGTATATATACACCAAAAAATCACTTGCTCCCAAAAAAAAACAACGGTAGAAAGAGCAGTGATTCTTTAATCACCGATAAAAAGGCATATATACACCTAAAAATCACTTGGTCTCTTGGAAACAACGGTAGAAAGATTAGCGATCGTTTACTCACTGTCATAAAGGTATATATACACCAAAAAAATCACTTGCTAGCAAAAAAACAACGATAGAAAGAGCAGTGATTGTTTATTCACCGATAAAAAGGCATATATACACCTAAAAATCACTTGGTCTCTTGGAAACAACGGTAAAGAGACTAGCGATCATTTAATCAATGGAAAAGGTATATAAAAATCACTTGTTCTCTTGAAAACAAGCAGAAAGGTATATATACACCTAAAAATCACTTGTTCTCGTAAAAGTAATGGTACAAAGCCTAGAGATCGTTTAATCACTAATGAAAAGTTGTAAATACACCTAAGAATCACTTCTTCTCATGAAAACAACGGTAGAAAGAATAGCGATCGCCTTATCACCGACAAAAACGCACCTAAAAATCACTTCTCATAATAACAACGGTAGAAAGCGTAAAGATCGTATAATCACTGGCAAAAAGGCTTATACACCTAAAAATCACTTGTTGTCATTTGATCACACTTAAAACAGTCAAGGAGATTGCAACATAATGCTAGTACCGAGTAGAACATTCCAGGAACTCTTCTAAGTACTACAAACACAGTAAAACCAGATAATAGTTCACGGTGCAATGAGTCTCTTCCCATTCGTTCGTAAATCCACAACAAATAAATCTATCAATATATTAATTTCATACGTATACAAATTTTTTTAATTTTACGATATTCACATCGCCGATTACCAACTGTAAACAACGAAATAGTGTATGGTGCGCATGTCTAGTGCTTGACGAATGGATTTTAGGTGCGGAGTAGCAAAATTACTCGAGAAAGATCTAGACTTGTTTGGTATGCAGAAAAAATCTAGATACTCGATACACTGTATGAAACATTTTTATAGGTGCTGATGATGAAAAGGAAATTCGGCCTCTGACGAGATGTCAAGACTTTTCTCCGAACACCAACCTCCTTTGTTATGTTATGCTAATGTTTGAGCATGTTTGCATTATATCTTTATAAGCTTTATTTCCTTTCCTTTAGTAGCACTTATAAATGAAAAACTACCATTTTTTACATTGTCATGTCAGGCCTTCAATATTTAAAACTGTTTCAGCCCGTATGCCAAATACTTCATCATAAAATCGTGTACACGTGATAAAAAATTAGATTTTCCCAAAGATGATGGTTTTGAAAGCACTACAAATTTTCTACAATTTTATTCTTGTCTGATCTATCTTTTAGCGCTCCCAGAAGTATAAATGAAGATAAAGTAGTTGAGTCACCTGTCAAACTATTTTGAACGTTGGTTTTATGGACTTGGTGACTGTGTAGATCTCATTTTTCAGAGGCTTCTGTCTGTTAACCTCTTTCTATACCTGTTGTTTACAGTTGGAAATCTGTCGCAGGAACATTTGATCAGTTTGAGCCTAAATACGTGCAGAAATGCGCATAGATTATCATAATCTAATTGACATCTGCTTTTAATTATTATTTTTTCACTTATCGACATCAAAAGCAAAGTGCAGTCATAAATATCGTGTGCAAATTCGTTTGAGTGACATTTCTAAACAAACCAAGGATAAAAACAAAAGTTTTACGTATATCCGCTTGCGGAAAATATACACTGACAAAAATTATCATTTGCAGAAATCATAAAAAAGTATTAAAGTAGTCAGTCTAGGTGCTGTTGGATGTTTAATTTAAAACAATCTTATTTTTTTAGTTTTCTAATGAACAAGTAGAGTAAGAGGAAGTAAAAACTGAAACAATTAATCTTAAAAGAATGTGGGGACTAAAAAACTGTTTCCAGTATCAAAAACGACAAATCTTACAAAAATCATCATGCTCACGTCGCCTTTTTGGCAAAATATACCTAAAACCTTTGTCGATATATCCCTTTCTGGGGTATTAATATAAATAAAATTGATTTAAAATGAATTTACAGGGGCATTTCGAAATTAATGTCCAATTTGGCATCCCTCGCCAAGCTAACGATATTTGACAGTTTAACCGCCAGTCTGGCGGCTTCGTCCAAGTTGTCGACCGGAAGGATTTTGAGCCCGGAGGCGGCTATTAATACTTTAGCGTCGTCGACGTTGGTTCCTTGAAGTCGGCAGATGATGGGCATTTTGAGGCTCAATTCCTTGGCGGCGGCTATGATACCTTCGGCTATGACGTCACATCTCATGATACCTGAAAGATGAGAAATTCATGAAGAGATTTTTTATAATATTTATTGATAGATACACCTACGAAAGTATTTTAAGTTAGTCTGTAGTTATTGTACTGCAATTAATATATTGTTACGATAATATGACTCATAAAAACTGTAAACATATTCTTTCTAATTCTGATATGTTCTAGATTATCAGCCGGCAGAAATTCCAGGTAATACCTGACCGGTCTTTGACGATTCGAACTTTCCGGAAGCAGGCCGCTATAAAAACCAACCTGAGCTCCCCTTCATTCGAGACAATTCAGGTCAACATCCACGGGCTTCGAGAGAGATTCCTTGCTAACGGCATTTTATATAAATAAAGGAATCTTTTTGTGGAAAACAGTCTGATAATATCGCGTCGAGTTTTTTTTAAATGTAACGAGCATATTGTAATAAATGTGTGAGAACTTTTGATAATAAATAAAGACAATAAATAAGATTAATAAAAACAGTTCATTGGTGTCAAAAGTGGAATAGTAAAACTGAGTACGATTTATGAGCTCACAATTACGGATTTAAGAAGACATCTCGAGGACAGAGAATCAGCTTCAGAATCAGCTAAAGAACGCTTTAAAAGAAGAGGGTTTGGATCCGGAAACATATATTTGAAGATGCTTCATCTCGTTGATTTCGAAATTAGAGAACAAAGTTTCTGGCGACATCGCATAATTAGAGAACAAAGTTTCCGGCGACATCGCTTCTTTAGAAGACAAAGTTTCTAACGAGATTTCTTCTCTAGAAAGCAAAGTTTCTGCTGACATCTCCTTGGAAATCTCTAAAGTCTAAAGATGTCTGCTCTCGACGATAGAATGTCTTCGTTAAAAAACCAAGTTGGTTTTAACAATCCAGTTACAGTAGAGAAAAAAGAAGACGATATGAAATGTATTCGAAAATTCGAATACATTTCGTACGAAATTCCGATCGATTTTGCAATGTATAATGGATAATTTTTAATGGGTATGCCAACATCCGAAGCGGCAGAAGATATAGTAGAAGATACATACCACCTGATACATGAAACCATCTCTAACATTTCTAAAAAAGAACGATAGAAGAACGATAGGTGAGCAAGCATGGCTTAGGCGAAATGAACGAGGTGAACGGCTCCTTCAATTTGACGTCGATATGGATCTTAGTATAGTAAACACAATATTTAAACATAATCCACGGAGATTATCAATATGGTCTTCGCCTGGAGGACGATACAAGAACTAAATAGTTTATATTCTTGTCACTAAAGGATGGAAGAGAACAATAACCAACGTGAAGACAAAACCAGCTGCAGACTGTGGTTAAACCAGTAAAATCACAAATAAAAGACAAAAATTGATTCCAAAACACCTGGAAAAGTTTAAAGAAGCATTAGCAGAAGCTGACCTACCAGTGACTACCGGAGAACCGGACAAAACGTGGGAATACGCAAAGAAATGGATTACTGAAGCTATCAACAATACTAATCCCAAAGACAAAACAGCTAGGAAAAAACATTTGATGACTGAAGAGACTCTTAATCTTGTAGAAAAAAGACAAAAACTTAAAACGTTACATCAATTCAAAACAAAAATGAAGAGGTATGCACCATAAATACAACTATAAAACACTTGTGCAGAAGGGACAAAAATAATTATTTTAAAAACATATGTTACTACATAACTAGAGGAACATGATGACCGCCAAGAATCTAGAGAACGGCCTAGATTAAATTGTAATGTAAGCTAATAGTTCAAAGTTGGTTAGTATGATAGAATCAATAACCTCTGTGCTGAGGTATGAATTATTTGTGAGATTAAAAATTGGGGATTTGAGCTCATGTGAGCACAATCTATTATAGATAGTTACCTTAACATCATCATATAGTGTCATTTGTAGTAGCTGTCAATAAAATCAACATTTTTCTGCATAACTTCAATTTTTTATTATATTTATCATTGTCGATCGACAAGAAGCGGACAAAGGGGAATTATAAAACGATTCCAACCTCATAACTACGTTCGAATCTTTGCAATATCTATTGGGATATTTTTAAGAACGTCAGTCTGTCAGTTCAAACGACAAAAATGAGCAGTAATTGTAGCGACAGAAATATTAAGAATTGTTGGGATATGGGATAATCATCTAAATATCTTGATTTTACAGATACTATATCACTACAAAAACATGATACATACTGAATAATCCACATAATACAGAACGTAAAAGATAAATTCTTCTAATAACTTCAAATGTTACTTACCTCCAAAAATATTAACGAGTATAGCATGCACTTTAGGATCCGCCGTGATGATTTTGAAAGCTTCCTTTACAGCTTGAGCGGTGGCGCCACCTCCGACGTCCAAGAAGTTGGCGGGGGAACCGCCGTGAAGTGAAATGATGTCCATGGTGGCCATGGCGAGACCCGCGCCGTTGACCATGCATCCAATGTTGCCGTCCAAAGCGATGTAGTTCAAATCGAACTTGGCAGCGGCTACTTCCTTCTCGTCTTCTTGGGTCCAATCGCGGAGGGCGAATAGGTCCTTTTGGCGGAATTGGGCGTTGTCGTCAAATCGGAATTTTGCGTCCAGAGAGAAATCTGTAAAATATGAGTTATTTTAGATTCGGAGAATTAAAAGAAATGGTCTGAGACTAAATCTGAGCGTCTGTACTTTACACAGGAGAAACTTAACGGGAAAGTTCTCGTTCCAGAAAATGGGCGTTTCAATAGATACTTTGTAGCGCCTTATGGATATAAAATAAGGTATAACCAAATTGACATCCGTGGATCAACTGCAAACATATCGATGGCTGAAAGCAACAGTGGGATATTTTGACAAAATTATATTTTCAACATTATTACAGCAAATCAACTAAAAGAGTCCAATTTATCATAACAACACTGAGATAACATGTATTAAAACCCAACTTCACGGCTATAGTGAATAAACCAGTGTTATACTGGAAGCAATTAACTCATTTACTCCAAGCAACACTGAGACAAACTGAATAACCCACTGTCGCTTGCTCGTTAGTGAAAGAAATATGGGCAACACTGAGACATTCTGTTTGACGACTGTCAAGTTTTGTGAGGTTAGGTTCATTTATATTATAATTTGTGTGTAAATATTTGTGTGCAAAATACTCATATGAATTAACACACCTGTTGTTATTTAATCAAAACTTTATTAAAGGATTGAATATAGTGAAAAGTGCTATAAAAATGGTTTCACGTGGTCAATTGATGTGCATTCTTGCAACTAAACAAGTAGACAAAACTGAGACTGCAACAGGTAAGCATTTCCCGTTTTAAGATAAATAAGGTTTATTTTAGTTACTTTATTAAATAAACTAAAATAATCAAAGTTACTTTAATAATTAAATAATAAAGTTTTTGTTTTCATTAAAATGTTGGCCATGTAACAAACAATGATTCTTTCTTTTCAGTCAATTCGAACAGCACTACTAAAACTGATGACATAGTTATAACCGAAAGCCTGATTTCTCGCACAAATACTTCACTGAACTTGGAACATTACAGGATTGCTGATGAGGTTGAAGAAATATTGAATTCAAGAAGTATAGGTATTAATGAGGTTTTTGTTATTACTTTCATTCTGATAAATTTCAATCTGTGTTCTTTATAGCTGCTAGGTGTAATATATTAAATTGATAAAACATTTTTCTTTTAGATGACAGTACACCTCATGATGGAGATTTTGAGCCCTCTGATTCAAACTCAGACTATGTACCAGACGCTGATGAAGGTATTGCTGTAACTTCTCATGCAGTAATCAACTGTGAAAATGGTGATTCAGACTTAGATTATATACCAGACACTAATGAAGATGTTCCTGTAACTACTCGTACATTATTCAACTGTGAAAATGGTGATGAAGTGTTACCGATCCTTAGTCGTAAGAGACAACGCAATGAAAATAACTGGAAAAAAAATGTTAAAAAACTGAAAATTAACTCTGGCCAGGAGTATGTCTCTCGTCTTGGAAAACATCATAAAGCAAAATCGTTGCAGACCCCTTGCAACAGGTGTAGTTTAAAATGTCCAGAACAAATTTCAGAAGATAAGAGACAAGATTTATTCAATTCTTTTTATGGTTTAAGTGATAAAGTAAAGCAAAGGAATTACTTGGCTCGCTGCATCATGAAAGTTTTGCCCAAGAGAAAAAGGTTAAGCAATGCGAAGAGAAAGGAAAATTTTGCATATTATTTTGAAGTTGATGGAAAAAAGGTGAGAGTTTGTAAGCACTTCTTTACTGCCACATTGAATATATCAAACAATACAATATCAACAGTTATCAAGAAATTGCAAGACGGTTTTATAGAAGGAGAAAAACGAGGTGTTCAATCAAGTGTAAACAAAACAAGCGATGAAGCAATACTTTTGGTCAAAAATCATATTAACAGTTTTCCTCGCATGCCCTCTCACTACTGTAGGGCACACAGTAAAAGGGAATATTTAGAAGGTTCTTTGAATCTATCAATAATGTACAGATTATACACAGAAAAATGTTCTACAGAACAGATTCGGCCTGTAAAGAAAAGTATATATACTAGAGTTTTTGACACACAGTTTAATTTAAGTTTTTTTAAGCCGAAAAAAGACTTATGTAATTTTTGTACACAGTATGAAAATATGGATGAGCAGCAACGTTTATTGAAAAAACAAGAATATGAACTTCATAAATCAGACAGTGCTTTGGCCAGAGAGGAAAAAAACCGGGACAAAACTTTAGAAGACAATAAAATTGTAGCTATTTTTGATTTAGAGGGTGTGTTCCAGCTTCCTTGTGGAAATACATCTGCCTTTTTTTATAAATCAAAGTTGAATGCATACAACTTTACCATTTTTGATGCTTTAACACGTCAGGGCTACTGCTTCTTTTGGAATGAGGGTGTGGGCAAGAGAGGGGCAATAGAAATTTCTACATGTTTATATAAATATTTAAAACATCATTGCGTAGGAAAAGATGTTATTTTCTGGAGTGATAACTGCACTGCACAGAATAAAAATAAATATCTCCTGTGCATGTATATTTTTGCATTGTGTACATTGCAGGTGAAAAGCATTACACATAAGTACTTAATTACAGGTCATACACAAAACGAAGGGGACTCAATGCATGCCTGTATTGAAAGAGAGAAGACAAGAATGCTAAAACAAGGTCCCATTTATGTTCCCACGGAGTTGGTGTCTGTAATAAAGTTAGCCAAGAAAACAGGTTCATCATACAATGTTACTGAACTAGAAACAAGAGAATTCTTGGACTGGAAACTGTTGTCCGAAAGTATTGGCAAAAACTTTAATGTTGATAACACAGGATCAAAATGTGTGTGGAACAATATTAAAGCTATAAAAATAACTGCTGAGAACCCCTACAACATTTTTTACAAAACAAGCTTTTCTGACCAACACTTTGAAAAATACATTGATGTAAAATACAAAATGCGGGGTCGCAGAACTGATTGCCGGAATTTAAATTTACAGCCAGCCTATACTGCCCCTCCTTCAATCCCTGAAAACAAAAAAAATGATTTGTTGGAATTATGCAGATCCAGAGCGATCCCAGAACGACATCACCTTTTTTTTGAGAATTTGAAGTAAATTTTATCATATTAATTTTAAGTAGTTAGTGTTATAAATTAAGTTTTTTTTATTTTAAGTTGTAAAAAATAAACATCTTAACTAAATAACATTTTTTTTACTCTATACTAGTCCCTATAGAAATGAGACATTTTGAATAATAGCACAACCCAGACTACCTATGTTAGTGTAACACTGGGATATTTTACAAAAACCTGTTTTTTCTGGGTTACAGATAAAATTAAAAGAAAATTAGCATTACAGGTTACGCTCGAACATTAAGAGACTAATATCTGATAACAATGAGCTTTTGGTCACCTATTTCTGATTTCTAATATGACATGCAAACTTTAATCCTCATTATCTCGTAATTTCAATTTGACGTGATATCTCACTGTTACTTTCAGCCATCGATATGTAGTCATTCAGTAATGGAGTAAAGGAAGCGTTAGCTTACTTTTTGCCATTTGGATGGTTGGAGATTTGACCAAAATACAAAATTTTGGGTAATAGTGGCTGAAGAACTAAGTAATCAGTCACTGAAGTGGTTTACAATGTGAGAAGAAGGCGTTAAGAGGCTTTTCGCCAATTAGACTTAACTACAAAAAGGAAATTTTGGGTCATAGTGGATAAAGAAGTAAATAATCAATAACTGGAGATCTCTAAAAGATGAGAGGATGACATGAACGAGGTTTTTTTTATTCAGGCATCGGAGCTTGAACAAAATAAAGAATTTTGTGTGGTAGTCACTGATGAACTAAGCAACCAGTGACTGAAAGCTGTTAGAAGGTCAGAAGATGGCGTGAGTGGGTTTTATTCCAAAGGGGTGGTTGAAAAATTGACCAAAATACAAAATTTTTAAAGGTACTAGATGTAGAGGCAAGTAATAAATAACTGGAGACCTCTAAAAGGTCAGAGGAAGTTTTTGTTAACTGGATGGTTGTATAGATATGTACTATGTCTGGCAAAAGCCTGTAAGCTACCAGAAACAGACGAAATACTGTTAAAACTACCTGTAAAAGAACTTGTCAACTGGGTGGTTGGAAACTTGATCAAAATAAAAAAAATGGGTGGTAGTAGATGAAAAATTAATAATTAAAGAATATAGGTTTTTAGAAGATCAGAAAAAGACCTTAAAGAAATCTTTGTCATTTGAGTGGTTGAGAATTGTTCGCAATAAAGAGTTTTGAGTGGTAATGGATGAAGATATAAATAATTAATGACAGATTAGATTTCTAGAAAAGCAGAAGAAGGCGTTAACTAGGTTTTTGTCAACTGGATGATCAGAACTCAGAACCAAAATAAAAATTATTGGGTTGTACTTGGTGAATACTTAATAATCAATATCAGGATGATTCGACAAGGTGATAGGCTGACATTAAGGAGATTATGTTAACTAAATGACTGTATGAACATGCAATATGGCTTGAAAAAAGGTAAGGCACCAGGTCCAGACGAAATACTGTCAAAAATACTAATATAATTGTTTCTATAAATATTTCTAATAAGGTTGTTTAATTTATCTGCCGAAGAAACTGAATCTCAAAATCAATCATCACACAATCACATTTTCTAGTTTACTGGAAGGTTTATAATACAAATAAATGCAGAAAACATTGAAAAATCTAAATACTAAGCAAACATATAGACGAATATACTAACATAAATATAAAAAAGTATGTTTATTAAATATTAAGTTGGGGTATGCATCATTTCTGATTCCTTCAGACACTTAAGGCCTATTATATCACCTCTAATACCCAGTTGTTCTGAGTTTACTAGTAACCTTTTGAGATCTATAGAGCCTGGGGTCATAGTCTACAATTGACCTTACTGTCTGAATGGATTAGTCCCTTTAGACGGCTCACAAAAAGCTATAAGCATCTTATATTATCTACCAATCCACTTGGATCAAACATGTTGGAAGACTTGCAAGAACTGTTGACTGCATGGCTGATAAGAGTAAAGATATGGACATAAGAAGAGATAAAGTCAAGTTTAGAAAGTCGAAAACATTTAAAGGATTAACTTCATTTTTTTGTACTTTTTTTTTTCAATTATTGCTATTTTTTCAACAATAAACATTAAATTTTCAAATTTCTAGCTAACGAAATATTGTGTAAAATTGAATAACGAAACTTTTAACTTCTTATAATTTTTTCTCTGGGATCAATATTTTCCGAATTATAAACGAAAATAGGAGCAAAACATGAGATATTTGCAATTGTTTTCAGATTTTGTTAAATAAAAAATTTAGCACAGGGATTACAACTGGCGCATATCGTGATTATCTATATTGGGCACATCCTGAAGGAATACCTGTAAAAAAATAGCTTCTTATGGAAAATTTCCAATCCAAACCAGATCCTGCATAGACTATAATTCAAAATGCTTATGTAGGGTAATATTGATGGTTATTATAGCAAAAGCCCATAAAACAAGGAGTAAATTAAAGAATGAAACAAAAATTTAAAAGAAAAGGAAGTAAATCAAGTGATACCAAATAGTAAACATTGAGAGAAGACTAAACATTCAATAAAAACCATTCATCAAATATTTCATGGTAACTATAGATAAGCAAAATGTTTATGTAATTAAATTATTCATATAAAAACTAAAATATTTTTATTAGATTAAATAAATGACTAACAATGAACATTTAAGTGCACTTTAAGTTGTATAATTTGTAACAAATATAACTATCAAGTAGGCTCAAGGTTCACATTTGAATTAATCTAACAAAGGTCAACAAAAACCAATTTATTATTATCTGGGTCATTGTTTGAAAAACATAAATATACTCACATTTTTCACCAGCATCCTCGGCATATGGATTGATCTCGATTAGAAGTGCATCTTTCTTGGTAAAAAGATCGTACATTCTCAGAAGCATATCAGCAGTTTTTTGTTTCTGAGATTCAAGGCCGACTTTTACTGCTACTTTTTCGGCTTGTTCTTTAGTTAGGCCTTTCACGACGTCAATGGGTTCGTAGAGGATAGCGTCTGGGTTTTCTGCGGCTACTTCTTCGATGTTTACACCTCCTTGAGAAGAGGCTATGATAACTGGACCCTACGATAAAATTTAAGTTTCAGAATTTTTGTAAAACAATTTGTCTTTGGCTTTATATTAAGCCTCAATTTTCACAATAAACTGATCATTTGAATAAAATTTCTTTTTCCATAGCAATTTTTGATGTCTGCAAATAAACAGTAGTCACTAGGAGCCAGATCTGGGGTATAAAAGTATAGTGGGTTTGAAAATTATTTGAAGTAAAATTTTTGTCAGTCTTATCACTGATTTCTGAAAAGGCACATTGTACTTATTTTCTTCATTTGACATTGCTTTTTTTACCATGGAATACTATGGAACTTGGGTAACCCAGATCTTGTATAATGCAGAATTATGTTTATGATAGAAATTTTGATAATTCACATAGTCTTATATAAATCTAACCTGGATAAAGAAAAATCAAGTATATACCCAAAAATGTGTTCAATATTAAGACTATTCTGATTTGCACAAATTTTTCATTATCAGTACGATATTAGAGGTGAAGAAGCGATGAAACATTTTGACTCATTAGTTTGAATATAAAATATTATAGAAAATAGTATACATTACATTAAAGGCACGCTCCATCATGACTGCAAAATAAAACTCTTTTCTTGGAAACTTCCTCTCTGCTACCATGACTGCATTGCATATTCTACCTTTTTCTCCAGTTTGTTTGGTTACTAAATACTGTCCCAGCATCTTACCACTGATCTCTTCAGCTTCTTCAGGGCTAGAACAATGCAAGTTTTGCTATTTAACAAACAGACATAACAGGGAAATGTTAAAATATTCTATTTTTGTAAAAGAAGAGATGAAACATCGAAATTAAGTTGTTATCACTTGATATTTTTCTTTTATAGGTAATAATAAGGTATTGCTTTGTTCTGATTACTTCAAAATACTTTTAATTTCTTGTATATTCATTCAATTATACTTTATAAACATCATATTCTTTTAATTTGTCAATATTTACCTGTACACCATTCTGACTCCACCCTTAAGTCCATTTTTAAAGCTACCCTTGCCTCGGCCTCCTGCTAATACTTGGGCCTTTAATACTAGCTCTTTGGTGTTGAGTTTTTCTGCGATTTGTCTGGCTTCCTGTTTAGTTTTGGCTACGCCGAAATTTGGAACTGTAATACCAGCATCTTTTAGCAGAGTGTAGCTGATGTGTTCATGGACATTTAGATTTCTGGTTTGTTGCTGCTGTGGTTGCCATCGTCCGTTCGAAACGGGTCCAAGTACCTAAAAAGTAGCAGGTCCAAGGTTTTACATAATACTATTTTTATCTGATTATCTAATATTTGAAGGTTGCAAGGTAACTTTACTATGAGCAGCCGATAAGAAAAAGAATATTATGGACATCGTTTACCTTGGAACCGTTTTTAAAGACGTTTTCTACTAAAATCGCAGATCTCAACATTTTTACACTAGGTCACTGAGTGATCACTGATTAATTAAACTTTTTCTCCTTCCTTGGTATTTTGGCATTGGCAGGTGCCAAGATTGAAATGTCAGTCAAGTTTCAAAAAGTAAACAAGCAGTGTTGACAACATTGTAATCTTGTCACAAACTTAACCATTCAAAAATAATTATGACTAATATACCGATAAATAAAAGTTTTAAATATATGCAAGTATTAATATATCAGGTTATAAGAAATAAACATAGTTAAAATATTTACTACGGTCATTACACAAATTATTATTTTCAGAAATATGCTTCTTGGGTTGCCTATACATAAGGAAGCTAATGGAACAGTATAATGTAAATTAAATTTAAACTTTTTTTCATTTTAATTTGTGTTACCACGTTTTGTCTTCTCTACTGTTATGTGTATGAAATAAAAAAATATATTTTCTTTGTTTTGTCTACTCTAGTATGTGTAATTATTTACAGATTTTTAATAATTGCTTTCCGTTACCAAAAAAAAATTAAAAATCGCATTTTGAACAAAATGCTCTATTCTTGCTACAAAAAAATAAGCACAGAAGAAATTATTAAAACCCGTAATTTTTACCATAGGTACTGTATAAACAGGTGTGGAGCTACCGGAAATGCAATGAGCGGGTGTCCAGGTGGCAGATAAAGAAATACCCTCCAGATATGCGTTGTACTATGGAAATGACTAGCGGAACAGTAAAAAACAGATGAGAAAATGAAATCTTAAAAAAACATCAGGAAGACATATATCAATACAGAAAAATAAAGCAATTGGAAGTATCACAAAACACAAACACTGAAAATATTCAACCAAACTAAAGAGGAAATGAGCTTTCACAACTAAGGTCTCGAGAATGGTAGCTGGAATAAGAATATAGAAAATTGGCGATCATATGAAGAGAAAAGACCTTAAGAAAAGTTTCAGAGACGTTAGACTGAAGACATTTGAAGATCCGCAAGAAATAGAAAGGAATTTCAGAATGATAGCAAAAATACAAAAAGGGAAAAGGGTCAAGATGATGTTCAGGAAAATACCTATAGATGGAAGGATATCTTTTATTAACGTTATCTCAATTATACTTTCTCTTTAGGTTTTTTCAATATCTTCTCATATATTTCAAAATTTGTTCCGGTAAAAATAAAGAAAACATTTTTTTGAAACATATTTATTGAACATAGATTAAGATTCATCTGTGTTACAACTCCAATACGAAGCAGCAATATGATACAAAATTATAATTACAATAATACATACATATTTCCATAAATACTCTAAATTCTATATTTTCCTACACATTTTTTAGACCAAATCTAGCGGCAGTTGATGCAACGCCTATGCAGTACCTTCCAGCACTTATATCTTACTGATTAAACAATCCTCTTGAGTGTAATCAAAATTACATTAAATATGGTTCATTAAATAAAAAATGGTTCATGTTGCCAGTACGCAGATTATAAACATCGAAATCACCTCAAGACAATTCTGGAAACTGCATTAGAAATTAAATAGACTATGTTACCTATTTATAAACAGTAAAGATATTCATCCTGGTAAGTCATCCTTACTAGTATCTAAGTTTGAGAGAGTTTGAGTTCTCTGAGAGGCCTAGATAAAAAAGGTAAATGGCATCAAAGAAACGATTTAGTAAGCAAGAACAACAACAAAGATGGGGGAACAGAGATTTAGACAAGATCTAATGACTTAAAATATTGCAGAAATGAAGAAAGCCTCGAAAGAACGCAAATCATTGAGCAATGAAGCTATGGAACTGGACGATGAAAGTGATTCTAGAGTTAATGGATGAAAAAAACAATTCAAGAACAACAACACCAAGAAACATAAAGAAATAGATAAGACGTATAATAAAAAATCTTCTTCTTCTTCAAGTGCCCTGTCCGCTGCGAACGTTGGCTATTAACATGGCAATTTTGATCGTGATTTTGGATCCACGAGTGTCTTCTCCTGTCTGGCCCTCGCTTACTGTCTATTTTTCCCTGGACAATCAAGTGTAGCAGACGGTACTTATCTTGTCTCAATATGTGGCCTAGATATTCAAGCTTTCTTTGTTTAATTGTATTCACGATCTCTTTCTCCTTTCCGATTCTTTGGAGTACCTCTATGTTGGTGACATGTTCGGTCCAGGATATACGAAGAATGCGTCGGTACACCCACATTTCGAATGCTTCTAGTTTTCTCGTTAGCGTCTCCGTCAGCGTCCAGGCCTCCACGCCATACAGCAAGATCGGAAAAATGTAGCATTTAACTAGACGTAGTTTTAGGGGAAGAGACAAATCCTTGCTTATGAGGAGCTTTTTCATATTGCTAAATACTGCTCTAGCTCGTTCTATTCTCGCCTTAATTTCTATGGTCTGTTCCCATTTTGCATTTACGTTGGTGCCAAGGTACACATAAGATTCTACTAGTATGTTACTTATCCGTAATTGTCGAGCAGGTTGTTGCTTTTTGCTTATCAGCATCCACTTTGTCTTCTTGAAGTTGAGGCTCAGGCCGTATTCCTCACTAACTGAATAAAGTCTTTCCATTACTTGTTGTAATTCGTCTATGGTACTGGCAAGGATCACTGTGTCGTCGGCATATCTTATATTGTTCGTTAACTCGCCGTTTATTTTTATGCCCTCATTTGCATTTTTCATACATTTGTTAAATATTTCCTCGGAATACATATTGAATAGGAGTGGGGATAATATACACCCCTGACGGAAACCTCTTTTGATCTGCACGCTTTCAGTGAGTTCGTTGCCAATTTTTGCTCTTGCTGTTTGACCCCAGTATAGGTTTGCCACAATTCGAATGTCCTTGTCGTCAATACCTGTCTTTCGCAGAATACCTATCAATTTTTCATGATTGACATTGTCAAATGCTTTTCTAAAATCTACAAAGCACAAATACACGTCCTTATCAACGTCTCTACACCGCTGTATAAGCACCTGGAGAGCGAAAATTACTTCTCTAGTTTCAAGTGCTTTCCGAAAACCAAACTGCGATCTATAAATATTTGACTCACATTTATCATATATTCTTCTATGAATGATCTTAGTGAACGCTTTAGTGACATGATTGATCAAGCTTATAAGCCGGTAGTCATCACAAATCTGGGCATTTGGTTTCTTCGGGATTGTAATAAATGTTGACTGCAGCCAGTTCTCCGGGATTTTACCGCTATTATATATGTTGTTAAAAAGTACAACTAGATCATCAAGGAACTGTTTGTCTGATTTACATAGGATCTTTAATATTTCGCAGGGTACATTGTCCGGACCTGCTGACTTATTGTTTTTTAGTGCTGCAATGGCATCTTCTATCTCCGATTTAAGGATTGAAGGTCCTGTTTCTCCTTCTCCATGTAGGCGATCATCAGTCCTGTCAGATGCAAATAACTTTTCTATGTATGATTTCCATGTTTTTAAGATCGTTGATGGCTCCAAAATAAGATTTTCATCGCTATCCTTTATGTTGTTGGGTAACTTATTTAATTTCCTCTTGTTTGTCATCGATTTTATTTTTTTGCGCATATTGTAACTGTCGTATTTTCGTTCGTATTGTTCTATTTCCCTGCATTCGTTGGAAAACCATTTTTCTTTGGCTTCTCGAATTTTCGTTCTTATCATTTTGTAGATCTGCTGGTATGTTTCTGCATTTTTATTCTTGAATTTACGTCTTTCATCCATCATATCCATTATCTCATCAGACAGCCATTCTTTCTTCTTCCGTCGGTCACGCTTTAATAGAGTCGCGCATGTTGTTTGGATTGCTTCCCTCGATTTATCCCATCTCTCTATTATGTCCGACGTGTGTATAATAAAAAATAACTGAAGCAAAACAAAACTGGATGCCAGAGACTTATACGGAACTACAGGTTCTACAGAAAAAGTATGATAATAGAATGGCACAAAAAATTAATGGAATAGAGAATGAGACACAATAGGACTAACATAAAACCAGGCAAATTGATGTAATGTTTACAATCGAAAAATCTGGATAAAATGACATCAGAATAATACAAAACCTGCACTGTTTTGTGTTATTTCCCAGTATCACCAGCCCTGTTTTATATAAAACATAAGCTGGTCATACCGAATTCATGAATATGCAAAGAGGCATAAGACAAGGTATCCCCTTTGTTGTTTAATCTATATTTAGAGGAAATATTTACCAAGTCTATGGGAAAATCATCAACAACATCCAAAAGGTTTACTACAACGAGAGGTTTTCTGCGAATTCCGTTAATCGCTTAGAGGTGTAAGTTGGTTGAATGTACTGTACAAACTTTTGATATACTTCAGAAAAACACAGCTCCAGCGGAAACACTATATTGGAAGAAAAAAAATTGTTAACATCAGTTCGAGTAAAAATAATTTTCAATAAAAAAGGAAAAGTAGAAATAAAACACTATAACGATAAAATCTTGAACCTGAATTGAACTTGATCTTGAATCCCTCAGAAGAAGCGATTTGAATAGAATAATATCATACATAAAAGAAGTTATCCTCACGTTTACAAGATACCTATTTTTCCTAATACAAGTTTTCTTCTTTCTTGTTCATTGTTGGGTTTAGTTTTTGATAAAATAGATGTCAGTGTGTTGGTTGTTTTAAGTAATATTATATATATTTGTTTCCAAAAAACTTAAGCCAACAATAAACAAGAAAGAGACCATGGAGCATAAATATTGTTTACTGAACCATAAAAATTGAGCTACAATTCGTACTTATAATAAAATAAGTTTTAAATCCGAAATAAAATATATTTCGTCACACTGTAGCCATTGGCTTCATTTGTAAATGTTTCTACAGTAAATTCCTATTTGTTGTATATGTTATCTACTAAAATACAAAATGAATATCACAGAAGAACACATATAGGAAGTACTAAAAATACACGTTAGCATTTTAAACAGGAGAAATATTAAAGTATTAACAAACTAGGAAGAACCAATGCGCACATCTTTGGTGGTTCCGAATGTAACACTGTTCTGGACACGTGTCAAATAGTTTGTGTTGTGGGATCACACTGGCAGAATCGACGTTGTTTAACCCTCCGTTAGTCG